GGGAAGGGGGGTTGATTCATTCTGGATGTAACAAATGTGATCCATTCACGTAGATTATCATTGAAAAACATATCTTTCTGTAGTGGAAAAATTTTTTGCAAGATTTGTTAATTAGATAGAGGAAAATAAGTTAGTCGTGAAAGAAACTGATGCAGCAAGACAATTTTAGTTGAATTCAGCCACAAATGGCAATTGCTGTTCGCCCGGAACCCAAACGGATGTGCAAAAATACTCCGAATCGATGGAAAAAATGAGTAAATTGTTCAGAGAAACATTTGAAAGCATACAAAAAGATGAAAAGAAAGGCGCGGCAAAGAATAAGAGTGTTAACTGGATCACTAAAGAGCATGTTGACTCGTGACCGAAATACTAGAGATCCGGAATGGTAACTGAAGAAATAGTTTTATCTTCTCTCAGAGGGTTGCAGAACTCATTAATTCATTGTTGTACAGTTTGTAAGATGTTGATTTAAGGTGTGTTTTAATAGTACACACTTCTAAGGTTGTTCGCGCTTTACAAAGTTTGTCTTGCTGCCTTCATTTTTTGCCGTTTTTTGGCAACCACTAGTGCTTCCAGCACTTTTCCAAGTTTATAATGACTTCTGCAAATATTGTTTAGGTTCATTCTACGCTTTAGGAGTCTGTTCAAATTCTTCAAAGTTGTTCATAGGGACTTTTATGTTTGAAATTTAGCGTGACACTCTTTTTTGCTATGCAAAAATAAAGAAATGCTGAAAAATGATCAGCCAAACATCAAACGGTTTGGGGCTGTGAGTAACTGATTTTTTGTACTGAGCACAGCGAGGATAACGGTGAGGACAATTGTGTTATTACTTCTTCCGTCCGGCTCTGCTCGTCGTACTCGTTTAAAATATGGTTTGTTTCATTTTAGTTGTGTTACATTCTACGATGTGTCCGAGAAGGGCCTGATAAGTAGGATAGTCTGTGTAACTACTCACTTAATGTGGCTCGGTGTTTTAGAGCTGCAGGCTGCCCAGTAATGACCATCACCTGTAATACTTGTTACATAAATTTTCGTTCTTTAGTTGTTTTGTATTATCCCGCTGTTTGAACTTTTTTTGATGATAAAAGAATTTCCTCTTGACCAATGGCTGTTGCAACGCAGACTTTGCAACTGTCTTCTCAGTGTATTATGAAACCTATAATAATCTCATTCAGTAGCCGCAGTTCCTTCCAAATAGATGCAGTGACTTGGTTATGCAACGAATTCCTTCCAAATCGATGCAGTGATACTTCTAAAGAGTTTTGGGGTGCAGTCAGTTCCACTGGCTGTCGTACTTTTTTATGTTAACAGAAGAACCAGTCTCGGGAAATAGTTTCAAGGCCAATTTGCTGCTGATTGCAAAATGTTCAGTGTGTGTGTGTGTGTGTGTCTTTGTGCTTTCGGCTGACTACCGTGCATAAATGCTATAACAGCACGGAACGATCTTTTGCGCAGATTAAAGCAACTGAAAACACACTGCTGCCTCGAAGTGAACTGTGTGCAAAATAGAGGTTACAAAAGCACTGTTTTGCAGTATAAATAGAGACGCTCAAACAAGAATTTCTCTTTTAACGGACACCTTTTTTTACAGATAATTCTAGGGGTGATACGTAAAGCTTTGAAACAATCAACAGTAGATAACAAATTATTTCCACAAATGGGTCTCTTGAAGCATTCTAGCGAACTGAGCAACTGAAATCAACCTGCACTGCTGTCACTCATGCTTTTAAACGTTTGTCTTACTGCGCCTTGAATTAGCCTACCGGCGAAACGTTCATCCATTCTGAAGTACGTCTGTACCTTTAGATAACGATTATGTACAGATAACCTGAAAAGAGTTTTAATTTTAGCAGTTGGAAGTCGTATTTACTGAAGTAGCTGGGCGTCTTTTGTTCCTCTTATCTCCTTCAATGCGCGCACCCCTCCCAACAAATGTATTTCCGAAGCCGTTCTTTTTGCTTATTTGTTTTAGCACGCTTACTAGATTTATCAACAATGATGCCAGCTGATTAGTTCAATATTTGATAGTGATAAAATATAACGAACCCTGGACTCTTCAAAATGACGCCCCTCATTGTTGGCATAAAAATGCCAACCTGCAGTATCTCAGTAAGCAACTGTTCCAGAAATTCAGCACCGAAAAGGCCGAGATCGCTGAATGTTGCTTGGTCTACATCTCGAACTCGTGATTCAAGCAATTTAAAGTCGAGGTTTTCAATTGACGCATTGCCAACAATCCTCGTTTGATTAAGCCACAAATTTATGTTTGACGTCATTCGCGTATCCGCTCGGATAATCTGCAGTTTTATGGGCTGAACAAGGTTTTTACCGTTAAATATCTCTGCATTTTCGTCTTATATTACAGTGAAATAAATTCCTCTTTGTATGTGTTCTTTGCCGTAAGATCAGCCATATCTACTCCACCGGTCGCGATTCCGCATGCTTGCTCCGCTCATTCTCAAAACCAGTTTAATAACAAACCCAGTCTAGAGCACACTGGTGCGATCATGCGTTTTTGCATTATTTCGCGCTGTAGCACGATCGCAAGGAACCATATTAGCTAGGATTTGTGACATAATAGCCCTCGAAGTTCAGGAAGTTAATTACGCAGCTAAATGGTGTGTCAGTTGTAAATATCGGCTTCAGTGACCGACAAACGGAAAGTTGCTGGTGCGCAAAAAAGACTCCACGAGAGGAGCTGAATTTGAAATCTTTTAGTCGCACATGAGTAGTACAGGAAAGTCCCCTACTTGAAATTCCAGCTTTCTATCTTTTTTCGTTCCGGATTTAACAGTTTTCCTGTCTAAATTCTCACGTGCCCGTATGTGGGCCCCAAGCGGTTTTAAGGAGCTGAATTTGAAACCTTTCAATCGCATATGAGTGGGGAACATTCCCTTAAAATTTCAGCCTTCCAGCTTTTCTGGTTCCTAAACTGGCAATTTTCCCCTCAAAACTCTTACGTACTCATACTTTAGTCCTGGGAGGTCTCTAAGGA